CATTTGCCACCGTTGCCCCAAGCCGCGTTGTGCCTCTACCCCTTGACTGTCCTGATCTTGCTTCCATTACAGTAAGCCAGCTCCTCACTGCCCAGTCCTGTAGGGATTTTAAAATTCTCATAACTGACTTCCTTTGTTTTCTGCTTTTGGTCAGTAACACCATCTGTGTATCCAGTTTATAGTGATTCTGTGAACATTTTTCTCAGCTGTTGGGTCTGCAGGATGAAGTGTAGCCTGAAGAATGCCAGTTAGGATCTGACTGCTCTCACCTGAGTCATTGCCTGTCTCCTGCGGGCCAGCCCCTATCCCTGTACGTTTTATGTTTAGCAGTACCACTGTTAACCCATTTCAGTTGTAGCTCTGTTTATATACCATATCTCCAGTGCCTGGACTGCCCCTCCCATCCTGTAACTTAAGGTTTATCTTCAAAAATACCTCTGAGTCAAACTACTTCCTTCTTCATGCTTCCAAAGGTTATTTGTTGCAAATTACTTGAAGATACTTTCTTTTTATGACCATTCTTTTTGAAGACTCAGTCCCATCCAAAATATAATGGAGTTCCAGTTATTTCCCCAATAACATAGATCACCACTCAGCTGTGTATTCCTTGAGCCTAGTAGGAGTAGCTGCCTGCTGCCCTCTGTACCCCCTTCAGAGGTAGCTGTGGGCCAGGAGTTCCCAGGGTGTTACTGCCTCGTGCTGTGGTTGCAGCTGCGGACTGAAAAGGGTCTGGATAATTTTATTAACACATTTAGTGGAGCAGGGGCAGTGCAGATCCTGAGGTTGCTCATCCAGCCTGTGCTGAGAATCCATGGTGGCCTTTTTGCTTTGTCCATAGTAAATTCATACTGAAGACCGCAGAATGCAGTTCTGGTGCTGTCATCTTCTTGTTCTTTTCAAGTCTCCGGCGTTTTGTTTTAGCTTGCTTTTATTTTCCTAATTCTGTTTTACAAAAATCAGGGCCGGCCTGATAGCTCAGTGCACTAAAGCGCCTGCTTAGGCAGAGTACAGCGGCCGGGCTTTGATCCCCAGCCTGCCATGCCCGCGCTGCCCCCAGGGTGTGCTGAGAAGGCGATGGAGACTGGACATGTGGCACTGCCTGTAATCACAACGCTTGGGAGGCTGTAAACAGGACCCTGAACACCCAGTAGACCCTGCCCTAAAATACAAAAAGGAAAAAGTACCTGTTTCTGTTTGGTCATCCATATCTTCTCTAATTCTTTTACAAAATATTGTAATATTGTATATTCCACATACAAAAATTCCAATTTGGGTTTTTTCATAGAAATTAATAATGAAATTAAAAGCTCTTTCCTTATTTCTAGACATATTATTTTAAAAACATTTTACAGTTGGAAAAGGTGATATATGAATTTGGTGAGTTCAAGTGATTCAGAAGGGTAGACATCGAAGAACAAATCTCTTTTCTCCATTTTTCCTCTCAAGTTTTCAGTTGGCATCATCTTGTTACTGTTTTTTTTTTAATTTATTTTATTTTATTTATTTATGTGTGTGTGTGTGTGTGTGTGTGTGTGTATGTGTGTGTGTGTGTCCAGCTCAGCCCACCAGGGGGCGGGGCTGGCTGGCATGTGGTGCTGGGGGATTGAACCGCGGTCCCTGTGCTTTGCTAAGCTTGTTCTAAGTAGGTGCTTTAGACCACTGAACCATCTCACCAGCCCCTTGTTACTGTTTTTTTCTTCTAGAAATTATGCGTGCACTAAATGATGCAAGTATTTTTATAAGATTCACAATTCATATTTTGGCACTTGGGTGGTATTTATCTCTAGTAGAAGTTGTAAGGCTGGTTATATTTATACTTTTTGAAGTACACTACACATTGGTGTTTTTTTAGTGAAATAAATATTGATGTTGCATAACAGAAGAGATAATCTTGCATATCATCCAAGGAGAGTGGTCAGGCGTTTCCTGTTTTCTCCTTTTAGTTGTATTGAGTTTCATATTAATTTTGAGCTGACCCTTTTATTGGGAACAAAGTACAGATTGCTTGATAGGTACTTAGGTGACTGGACCTTCAGCTCTGCTATTGGCCCCTATGGCAGAAATGCTCTGAGTACTTTATCCTACAGCCTGTGCTTTAGCTTGAGCCGACCCACGCACTTGACAGGAGGATATGATAGTCAAAATCGTGGGGCCCAGAGGAGCCGAGATTTTCACAGGCACACTGTATAGCTTGGTAAGGGAACCAAACAACGCCATCCAGTATTCCTGGCTCCTTGACTGTAAGCACTAATTCAGAACTGTTTTACAAATGCGTTAGGACTCTGCCAACTGTAGAGGTAGATTGATGTGATTTGACACCTGTTATTTTCAGAGTCATAGATTGCCCCTCTACTCCCAGAAAACCTTTTAAGAGGCTCCAGTTAGAGATCTTTTTCCACCTTGTATTCCCTCATTTTTCAGTCTTCTTGGTTTTCAGCCCTCCTTTCCCACCTACCAATCCTCTTCGAACTGCCCCACCAGATATTGAGTAGACTTATGTTACCAATCCGTTTTGTAACAATGTTCTTAATTAAAACCATGCATTCATGTGTGTATATCTGCATTCCTACAATGCTGTTTCAATAGCTTATTCTGGAAAATGACCAGTGAAGGTGCCTGGTATCCCTTTTCAGACATTAAAGAAAAAAATCACAGTATGTTTTAAAACTCCAGATTATTTAGAAGAGTTAAGCTTGGGCTCTGAGGAAGAACTTCATTTCCAGTGCTTGCTTGCTATTGCTAGGATTCAGTTTCTTTTGACTATTTAATTTAGCAACTCTTAAGTGTATTTATTTCAATTGTGTTTACTTATTGGCCTTTAATTATATAGGTTTAAGTTCTGAAGCCTGAACATAAAAGATACCACTATTTTGACATGACAGTTCACCTTCCCTATACACTTTTTATTTTTGAACTGGCAATTATATGGAAGATGGCAGTGTAACTTCTTTGATATTTTTGTTAAAAATTTCTAAAAATGCTGTTGGTATTCCGCTTGAGACAGGCCTTTGACAAGGGCTGTAGTATCTATTGCTGGTGACAGAGCTCTTTGTTGTCTGCTGTTGATGGTGATAAGTTAGTATTAGAAAAGAACCTTTGAATCTGAAAGTTCCTAGAGCCAGAAAAGGACACAGCTCTGTTCAAAGATTGACATAGTCTTAGCATAGCGGGCAGCCCTATCCACCATTTCTCTCTATAGACAGAAAGATCTTTGTAAATTTAGCTTACAAATGAAAAATTTTAAAACAGGATGGCTGTGTATTTGCAGTGACTTGCGATGTACTCATGAGCTGTATTCCATCGTCTCTCCCTTGGGTGAATTACACTCAGGAAACTTGTGTTCCCTGGCTGGTGGTGCTGTGTTCCAGGCATCTGTGAACTGACTTCACAAAGCCCATAAACGTGGTGCTGGTAGTAGTCTGGGGCACAGGCCAGGTTTAATGACTGCTTTTATAGTCCTACTCCACCCCTTCCCCAGTTTTTGTTACAGGCTTGAGGGAAAGGTTTAGACAATCCATAGGGGAGAATCTTAAAATAGAGAAGATAGCTTATAGGTAACCTGGTAGTGAGAACGCATCCATTTCCTATGTCTATGTTCTTTCCACTTTATTATAACTTTCTCTTATAATTAATAGCATTTGTACATTTTAGAGCTTTCCAGTATAGCCCTATAATCAACTAGAATGCTTATGTATTTTAGGGCTCTCCATCAATCCAGTAATACAAGTAGTATACACAGCAGTAGCGTATTTTGTGGGTGTAGTGCATCAGGCCTTTTGCATAGCTCAGTCATGGTTTTGCAGTATTTTCCTAACTTGTCTCCTGCCTTTTGTCTTGTTTCCCACATGTCCATCAACTACAAAATTACCTGTGAAAGCGTTCCAAAAAATAGATGATTATAGTCCCATCTTTAAAGCCCTGTAGTTTTTTCCTACTTGTTATAAGAAAAATTGTAACTTCTTCATGCAGCACATAAGCTCTCTTCTGTAGTTTCTATTTAGGTTCTCCTTATATTTCTCCCGTGGACATGCTGCACTGGCAATACCAGATTTGTTGATGTTATTCATGTATCCCATTGTGTATTCTCATTCCATACCTCTTCTTGTGGTGTCATTTATTCTTTAAGTACTCTGTGTCCTCTTTTTTTCTGGTTATTTTTTATAAAGTAAACTGATGGCTGCTAGAATTACAGGGTTGGGTACATTTGCTGATATCTTGGTTGAATTTTAACTTGGAGCCTAAGAATTACATTTTCTACCCACTGTGATTTTCAGAGAAATGTGCCAGCGTCACACCTCCATTCCTCGAGCTTCCAGGAGTTCCAGGTCCCTCTCAGCTCTCTTCTCTACCTTCTTAGCGTGTGCATATTCTAGGGCTCTGCCTGAATTCTGTAAAACAAGGAGTTACATGATAGTAGCTTATTTTATAGATGTAGCCTGTCAGGCCTTCTCAAGCTCATGATACAGAGTAGATCTATTTTCTAGGCAGTACAATGGAGAAAGCCAGAGAAGGTCAAGAGAACACACTAGTTGACTTTTAAGGGTGATTCCTGGATGCTGTCAGAGAATGCTGTATACTACCCTGTCAGCTAGAATTCTGAAACAGCTATCCTTGTGTTTAGTTAAAGGTTTTGACACTGGGAAAAAAAGAACAGTGAACGTCAAGGGACAAAACTCACAGGATTCATCCAGACTGTTTAGCCTTACATTCAATCTAAACTTCAGACCTTTTTCCAACCACTACATGAATCCTGATACCAATCAAAAGCCTTCTTGTTATTCTAGGTTGTAAGTGGTCACCTCCTTCTAAACTTTGGCATTCTCTTATTATATTGCAAACGTCATATCCTGAGCTTTTATTGCTGTCATTTGTCTACCTATATAGCTTCCCTACAGTGTAAGTGGCTGGGAGTAGTGACCTAGTATCTGATAAATAATTGGTTTTCAGTAAATATTTGTTATATGAGTAAATAATTTTGGTGATGTCTTGGTGTTTTATAGTATTTTAGGGAAGGAAAATGGACCAACCCAGTGGAAGAAGTTTTATGCAAGTATTATGTGAAAAATATAGTCCTGAAAACTTTCCTTACCGCCGTGGCCCTGGGATGGGAGTCCATGTTCCAGCCACACCTCAGGGCTCTCCTATGAAAGGTAAGATGAGACTTAAAGTATTTACTTACTGGAATGTACTTAGGAGGTTATATATATATATATCACAATGTTGCGTAATTTGCGAATGACTTCCTTTAAGTTATAAGTCTAATCATTCTTATTTGGATTTCAGGTGATTTTTTTTTTTTTCTTGAGATAGGGTCTTGCTTTGTAGTGCAGGGTGGTCTTGAACTCACTATGTATCCTAGGCTAGATCCTTCTGTCTCAGCCTCCTGAGTGCTGAGATTACATGGGTGCACACCATCATTCCTGGCTGGATTTCAGTTACTAAAAAAAGTCTCACAAAACTTGTTTTCCTTTAGATTGGCCAGGAAGTGTTTTAGTTGCAAGAATAATACTTTTTTTTTTTTTTTTGTAACCAGGGATTGAACTCAGGCCCTTGTGCTTTCCAGGCAAGTGCTTATTCTACTGAGCCATCTCCCCAGCCCCTAAGAATAATACTTGAGTGAGAAATAATTTCAAGTGCATATTCTTTAAAGAACTGAGAGAATAGGAAACAGTCCAGGGCTGGCCTATCTCTCAGACCTCTTTAAGGTCTGTTAAAGACCTTAACAGCTTGATTAAATTAGAAGACATTTATGTTTACAAAGATACAACAAAAGGTAGTTTATATTGAATCAAATGAATGCCACAGTTATTAAGGGAAAAAGATAGTATGTCTAGGAAGGTATGTAAAGCTGTGGTCCTTCAGGAATGTAGACTGTACGTAGGAGATAAAGATAGTTTAGGACAGATTAGATATGACTAGAGTTCATTGACTAACTAGAGATGTACGATATGTGTTTTTGCCTTTTAGCTTAATGTTTTACTTAACAGACCTTGGACTTGGTTCTTTGTAATTAAGGGGAATTAATGGTGATTCATTGTTTTAGTTTCTATCAGAAGTCACTGAGTATTTAATATTTCACAATACAGTTATCTTTTCACATCATATAACCTGGAATGGCAGACACATCTTGGTAACTTTTTTTTTTTAAGGATTCATTCTCATTCTGAGAAATTTGATAATAAAAGGTGTTAGGTTGAAAACTCATAATTTGAGGCATCTGTTTAATAAAATATGACCTTCATGATTCAGTATCTTATACCAAGTGGAATGGGTCGTTGAATGGCTATGTTTATCCCTGTTAGTAGAGATAGTAAGAGTGATTTTATGTATTCATATGTTTTTAAACCAGGTAGTAGTCAAAGTTGTTACCTGCTTGGCTGAATTCATTGAAGATTTTAGATACTGAAATACTTTTTCTTACTACAATTACATTTTAAAAGGAGGCTAATATTCATAAGGGATAAAATCTACATGAATATGAAATAAGGATAACTGATAGACAAGTACAGCAGAAACAAATGCAAAGTTTTAAGTGGATATCCTTAAATGAGGAAGATTTCTTGAATATGAACTTAAAGAACAGAAATGGCTTAACAGATAATCTACAGGGTTGAGGTTATTTTCATAGACATAAAAGGTAAAGATACACATCAGTCAGAGAAGAACTGTCCAAAATAGTTTTGTACTGAATTAAAGAGTCAAGGCCAGTAGAGGTGGTGGTGATCCGGACCTGAATTTCACCTGTGTAGTGTTCTGGTGATAAGACCACCCATCTGTTGTTGATAACTAAGATAAAGATCCTTGCTGGTTCATTTCACTTATATCTTCAAGTGGCGTCCACTTAAATATAAAGGCTTCGAGTTTATCATTCTTTATAGCTGAGTAATACTCCATTGTCTCCATTGTATAAAAATACCATATCTTTTTCTTCCATTCCTCAGGTGTTGGGTATCTTGGTTGTTTCCAAGATTTGGCTATCACAAATTGTGACGCTATAAACATAGGTGCACATATATCACTATGATATGGCTTTTTCAGTTCCTCTGGGAAAATTCCCAGTAGGGGGATAGCTGGTTTGAATGGGATTTCCAGTCCTAGTTTTTTAACGAGTCTCCACACTGATTTCCATAATGGTTGCACCAGTCTACATTCCCACCTCATAAGTGAAATAAATGATACCCACATGTGTAAAGATCGTATAGCCTCTCCCCTAGTGTAGGAACTCAAAATAAGAAATAAAAATAGAAAAGTATAACACAATTAAAAGGAAAGCGAGAACTTAAGAATTACACAATGAAGAGAGGGCAAGGAGAAAAGCTAGGAAACATGACAGGGGCAAAGCCATACATTTATATGCACAAGATGGTTAAGGCAATGATCCTGAGAATCTTCAGCAGGTTTTTGAAACTAGCAGTTAATTGGTAGCATTCTCACCCTGACTATGTATGCTGATACCTGTGAACTAAGCAACTGCACTGAAGATAGCAATGTGTAATACTAGGGCCATGCTCGGAATGCCTGTCATTTGGTCTTCTAAATACATACTGCTTGTCATGTCATATCAGTTACTCCCATACTGTCTCTCAAGTAAATGTTTAAGAAAAAAAAGTAATAAATGAAAACAAGAGACAAGGAAAAAAAAAAAAAGAACCCTGCTAGGAATGAAAACCCAGAGGACTTTGGGGTGATAGTTTAGTACCTCTGAGCTCCTCCTAGCCATATTTGGTCATCTCCTCCTCCAGTTCAGGGCTCTTGGACCCTCTTAATTCATCATTGTTTAGATCCTTGTGCACTTTCACACTGATCTTTGTTTCTCGATGATTTCTGTGGCCTAACTGGGGTAGTCAAAAGTTAGATTGATGTAGAAGTGTTTTGTTTCCCTTGATTCAGATCGCCTCAACCTCCCAAGTGTACTAGTGTTGAACAGCTGCGGAATTACCTGTGCAGGAGATGAAAGAGAAATCGCCGCCTTTTGCGCTCATGTATCGGAATTAGATCTTTCTGACAACAAACTCGGAGACTGGCATGAGGTAAAGTTCCTATTTTGATGAAGGACAGAAATAACCACTCTGTTACTGTTTATGTTATTATATATTCTGCTTAATTCAGTTCTCATTTGAGATTCTTGTTGTCTCTACCTCTCAAGATAAATGACTTCATCACCTGTCGGGTGATTGTCCCGACAGCTTTGTTGTTGCCAGCCTGTTTTTATCACTATGAAAAGGTCTGAGGAACTTTCTAGGCATCAAGAGGTTAATGACTCTGTGGAGGTTTAGACTTACTACCAATTAATTCTCTGCTACTTTTACTAGTTTATATGTCCCATGCTCATTTTTCCACTTTACTTTACTATTTATCACTATAAATTGACATGCAATTCTCCTAGGAGCTTGAAACCAAGATTATGAAAATATCCTCATTAGTGAAATTTATCCCAAATATGTTAAAACTTTATTATCAGATGTTTCAATATAGCTGAAGTCTTTTGACCTCAGAGTAACCCTAAGTACACAAATAACAGAATTATAACAGTCTCTCTTGTTTTTGTAGGTAACATTACATACCTGATAAAAGCTTAACTGGAAGAGTGAAGGACAAATAATTTTTCTTGCTTGGTTCACGCCCCAGCCTTAAGTTAGGCTCTGCTTTTTTGCTTCAGCTGTTAGAGATGGTTCCCACTGCTGGGTCATGTACCTTGCACAGTGCGACCACAGACTCCTTCTAGTATATGAACCGTGCTATGACACACTTACATCGAATCTCCTAAAGGCTTTCATTGCATAGAAATTAAGGTCTGAATGCTTTGAGCTTGGTCCTTCATCATATGGTTATTTGGCCCTTTGTGATTTCTGGAACTATTAATTTGATTTCTGGAACCTACTATTTTGTTTTGAAGCAGGGTCTTAATATTGTTCAGGCTACCTTGAACTCACCATCTGGCCCAGGCTGGCTTTGAACTTGAAGTGATCCTCTTACCTCAGCCTCCTAAAGGTGGGATTACAGGTGTGTGCCACCACGCCTGGCTGTTTCTGGAACTTTATTTGCATCTTTAGCCATTTACTTTTACGTCCAGCCCATAATAAACTCAAGACACGCAAAGCTTCTATTTATGCTGACTCAGTGCCCTCTTTCTCCTCCGTCTACCTGGCCACTTCCTCTTTATCCTTCCAGACTTGGCCCAGCGGCTGCTTCTCTTTGAAATCTTCTCTGGCTCTCGTTCAGGCAGTCAGATCCCCCTGGTGCCTGTATCATGCTGCTGTGGTAGGATTCAGTGCTGTACTTGCTTGCTTACATGACAGTTTTCCTGCTAGACTAAAAGATATTTGAGGTGGAAATTTTTGTCTTTTTAAATTGATCAGTGCCTAGCAGAGTAGGAAGGCAAATATTTGTTGAATGTGTCAGTAAATAAATGATTATGTTTTAAGGATTAATCAAGATCACTTTTCCTGTGATCCAATTTTTCCTGTGATCTTAAGAAATTCACATAGTTTTGTAGTGGTTCAGCTTGTTCATCCATAAGACATGTTGGTTGATTAAAATTAATCATTGAAGTACTTTGTAGATATTGAATGCTACAGAAGTCCTAAGATAGCTTTCTTGTTTAAGAAAAATCTGTGTCTATCCTAATTTGTTCACTTTTTCTGTATTTATCTACTTCGTAGGTTTATTTTGTCTAGTAACTGTTCTACTTCCTGTTTCCATTAGGATTTTTACCAAAATCTTAGACATGTGGTTCACCTAATTTCTAGGTGATACACAGATTTACAGGGCTGTTGCAAGAAATAATCTCTGTTTATACATTTGTTGATTTAAAGAACTGGTATAACTCACTGTTTAACAAGTTGTAGTGTGTGCCTTCTTAATCTTTTGAGACACCTCATTGCTCTGCTCCATCCGCACTGCACAAATGCAGAGAGAATGCCGTGTTAATCGTCCTTCTCTGTAATTCTTTTGGGTCTTCCCACTGAAGGTCTACTGAGATTTGTAGTTTGAGCTGGTGACAAGTCAGAGCAGTTCTTCTTTTGAGTCAGTTCAGCTGTGATGATCATGCGCTGAATCCTCTAGAGTTGTTACCTTGAGAATATAAAATTTCCCAGAAGCTGTGTGCTTTGTATTGACTTGTACTTTAACTATGTACATGAATTTTTGCTAACTGGTGGGAGCAGTTTCGTAATGACAGAGGAAGCTTTAAGTGTGTGGATCAGTACACAGTGCTGCACAACGTAATTCAGCCTTTTCTCTGCTTAGACAGAGGTCTGTACTAAATATTTGTCAGGCCATGTTGACATATAGCCAGAGAGTCACAAATTTATTTGTACTCTGTCTATATTCAGTTTTCACCCTCTTACATGCTCAGTAATGTTTTTAGGGAGTTTTCAGGTGGACATTTGTAGCTGCAACTTTCAAATTTCCATATTCTGCTTATTTATTAACCTTTTCATTACTGGGGAATGAACCCTACACTATTGCACTGAGTTGGTTCCTCAGTCCGTTTTATGTTTGGGCAGGATCCTGCTAGGTGCTGAGGCCGGCCTTGACCTTGTGACCCTGCTGCCTCAGCCTCTGCATGGCTAGGAGTATGGCATGTGCCGCCGTGCCTGACTCCAGCTTGTTTTTATTTTCTTCAGAGAACAATGATAAAGGAGAAAGGCTGAAGGGATGTTGACTTTTTGCTTTGATAAGTTCTTTACCAGGCTACTTTAAAAGCCTTGTGTGGTCACTGGTTTTAAGACATTACCTTTTGCCAGGCATGGTAGCCCACATCTGTAATCCCAGCACTTGGGAGGGTGAGGTGAGGCAGAAGGATCATTGGGAGTTTTAGACCAGCCTGGGCTACAAAGTGAGCACAAGGCCAGCCTGAGCTGCATAGCGAGACCCTGTCTCCAAAAGACAAAAAAGAAAAAAAATGATATTTTAACCTCATTACAATGCTTATGTCCGATTACCAAAAATATTTTTCCCTAACCATAAAGTAGGTTCACTTAACCAGTGTTAATACAATAAATATGGAACAATATAATAGGTTCTTTCAATTTTGTTTTGTCACCAATGTTATGAATCATGGGTAACTTCTTTTGTAAATTGAACTGTTGGTTGCTGTAAATCCAAAGGATACAATATGTGTGAGTGAGAAATGTAATTCTTTCTTTTTTGGGGGAGTGGAGATTTATTTCTACCATAATAAATTTAGGCACTGAAATGTTAATAAAATTCATTTTTAGCTATTGACTTAAAGTTTGCTGAGTAGAATTTTGGGCCTTTCCCAAGATACCTCCTTTTTTTCTCCTTTTCTTCTCAAAACCATTTTATAAAAGAAATGAAATCAAGCAATTGAGAGGAAGGAGGAATTAGCCAGTCGGGTGATGTAGAGAATGGCTTGAGTATAAATTACAGATTGTTATCTTAAAACTCTTTCCCCTTGTTGCTTAAACCTTTAGTTTCTTCTCTTAGAAGCCAGTGTGCAGGAGCCCCTATTAAATCATGAGACTGGAGGCCTTATGCGGCGTCCAAATTCATCTCCGTGTTTCTGCACATGAGCAGACTCAGTCCGGAGGTGATCTTGTTGCTGCTGTTGTCTAGAATTTAAGAAAGGAAAGTCAGTCTATAGCCCTAGAGCCTTAGTGGGATGTTTGTGAGTCTTTGCCCTTGGGAAATTTTCCATAAGTAAAATTTTCTGTTGTATTTTATTTTCTGAGTCTTTCCATTTGACGTTACATTAAAAACTTATTTCTGCCCTTTAAAAGGACAGTATCTATTTCTACCATATATTACTTTCCTGTTTGAGTTACGAGAATCTAGTTCAATCTTATGTTTTAGAATACACAGGCAATTAATATAAATCTGTATTTCCACGAGTGGTAGCATAGAAGTAGGCTCTGATGATTGCGTCGTATATCTGTTAGCCTTGGAAAAGCTCCCAAGACATTATTTTAAAACCGTAAGATTACCCATCTTCTAATATCCTCCTCTTTATTTTACAAATAAAATATGGGAAGAAAGCAAAAGACTTCTATTTTGTTTCTGTTTAACTAGGTTTTACCAAAATTAACAGTCTTTGTGCCTTAAATTTAAAAAAAATGAATTAATGTATTTATATAGGCACAGGGTCTCGCTACATAGCTCAGACTCAGTGATGCTCCTGTCTCAGCCTCCTCAGTGCTGGGATTGCAGTTGTGCGCCACCACACCAGGTTTCAGGGCCGGCACGGTATGCCCGGACTCCGGGGTGGTCATGGCATGTGGTGCTACTCTGGTCCTCATGCTTGCCAGGCAGGTGCTTAGACCGCCAAGCCATCTCCCCAGTGCTCTTTGTGCCTTAGAAGGAGCACAATTCCACTTTTTCCCCGTGCTTAAAAGATGTAAGGTACAGTGGTCATCCTCTTCTATGTCAAGGTCCTTTGTAACATTAGTATTTGGGTCATAGAATGTAGTACATACTTGGTCCTTGCATGAACTGTATAGCTGTGCTGTAATCACAGATTCTAGCCATATATTGCAAAATGTTTGATACCCTTTGATCACCAAAAGAATAAAGCAGAAGGACTCGTGCAGACTGGTATAAATTCCCTGTATTTTAAACAGAAGTGTTCTGTATTTTCCCTAAAAAGTAGCTTATTTCTTCATTTCTAAAATGAGAATAAAAGTGATACTAACTTCAAAGGGTTAGTGTGGGGGTTAGATGAAACTCTGACATTCTCCTCTGAACCTTATTGGAATTAATCTACTCTGATTTTAGAGCTCCTGGGATGAATATAGACAAAGGCCTGACATAAAATACAGTTACTTTTTTTTTTCTACCCATGATTTCGCCCCTCCTTCCTTACGCTGTTTTCCAGAGTTCTGAAAAGAAACTGATACCTAGGTCCCAACCCTGAAGCTTGTCCCACTTGTGAAACTTCTGACCGAATAGTTTATGGTAGTCCCTGGGAATCGGTACATTCTGATGGACAGCAAGGGTTGAGATACTGGTTTGTAGTATTATATTAGCTGTAGTTATATTTATTAAATGTTTTTGTGCCATAAGTTCTTCAGTAAATGCTAAATACCCCACTGCCCCTGCTTCCATATTTACATGCAGTTAGCGGGTAATTAAGGACAGGTTTCAAAGAGATGCCTTTGCCGTGCTGAGTGAATCACGTGTGTGCTTCATTCAGTCCAGTAGCCGCATCCCGTAGATGGGCGCTGTGCTCCTTGTTTTCTGAATTGGGAAGCTGGCTTCTGTGAAACCACGTGGCTGGGAAGTGCTGGAAACTGGTTTCAACCAGATTTTCTATCTCTGAAGCTAATCCTGACTACCCCTTTCTATTCCATTTTTCATGATTTGGTTACCACATCGACTGACGCTTGATGCTTAGTATATTTACAAGCATTTAGTATTTTTCTTCTTGCTTAAGCTTGTCCTTCTCACCCATTGTGTCAGCTGCTCTGCAATTGTCTTATTTTTTTCTGGTTATTTTTTCTATGATGACTAGCAGGTGAAAAGAACAGTGACTGAGTTTTTAATTCCAAATTTGTGGCTTTGAGAAGTTAGTCAAATTAAGCAACATCTTTGAACCCCAGGTCCTTTACATAGTACAGCACGAGTAGTCTTATCTTGCAAGTCGTTTTGAGAATGTTGAACAAGCTATATAAAGCTCTAGTAATGTGCAACTAAACAGTTAGGTTAGTAAATAATCATTGAATGGAGTATTTTTCTACTTCTGTTACATAGTTATGGATAGCTTAGTTTTTAAGTAAATATATTTTAAAGTGTGATACACATCTTTAAACCATACATTCTTGATTAGTTTTGAATATATGTGGTGTTTTCTGTTTTGAACTTATGAATTGCTACTGGGTGGTTTTAAAGAACCCTTTAATTAGCCTTAATGTTCTGACAATGAGAAGAAGATACTCAAAGAGAATTACATGACCTAGTCTCATCTCTTTAAAAATTTATAGACTGTAATGTCATCTAAACTATCTTTTTCTCTTTATCACAAAAACTGTCACATAAAGAGCAGAAACTTTGTTAATGGTGACATAGGAAATCTTTTTTTGTACCATTACTTATCAGATATGCTGCTATTTCATAGAAAGAGATTAAGTTATTTGTGAAGAGTTGTTGAAATCACTTATGCTGCTCGTGGGCAGCATCACTAAGAAGGATTCCCTGAGGTAAATGGGCCTGTGCCTCGGGACCCACTCATTCAGGCCTTCTTGAGCGTGGTGATTGCTATTAAAAGCTCTGATTACTACCTGATATGCTTTTCCTTTCTTTATTTCTCCTCTCTAGGTCAGTAAAATTGTGTCAAATGTTCCCCAGTTGGAGTTTCTAAACCTGAGTTCCAACCCTCTGAATTTGTCAGTTTTAGAAAGAACATGTGCTGGGTCCTTCTCTGGGGTTCGCAAACTCGTCCTCAACAACAGCAAAGCTTCCTGGGAGACGGTGCACACGATCCTGCAGGAGTTACCAGAGTAAGCCTAGAGCTTGGTGGAGAGGGCGCTGTGCTGCCACTTGTTAGCCCATAGAACTACTGCTGATCTCCCATCTCGGAAATACTAGACCTGCAGCCTGAATGGAGAAGGAGGCTAGAAAAGTGAAGAATGAGCATGAGGTTGTGAGGGTAATGTGGCAGCTTCTCCAGTGGAACGTTGATCCAGCATCGAGTAGCTCCGAGACCTGAGATATGCCATCCTTTGGCTAGAAAATACCCCTGAGAAGCACTTATCGCCTCTAGATCCCCCAGCCTTTCGCCATTCTAATCTTCTGATTACCTGATTCAGGACTTTTGCTTCAACCCCTTTATTTGGGAGGAAAAAAAAAATTCATAGTATCTCTAAAACATCGTAACATTTAGATGATTAAATACCTAGCTGGCGGGTGGGAAAATGGACCTTTGGTATTCTTTTCAACAATATGAGAAACAAATCATACTTTTTATCAGTTTAGAAATGCCTTTTACTGTTTTGTTTGTGTCTGTTGTTAATGCACATAAGGGTGCAAACAACCTTTAAAAAATATGTCAAGGAGACTAGCTTTGGGAACCTTTTGATTGATTGATTGATTGATTGATTGATTGATTGATTGATTTTCAGTACTGAGGATTGAAGCCAGGGCCTTTATCTTGAGCTATATCCCCAACCTTTTTTTATTATTTATTTTGAGACAAGGTCTCATTAAATTGCCCAGGTAGGCTTTACCTTGCAATCCTCCTGCCTCAGCCTCCTATGTGCTGGGGTTATAGGTGCATGCCACCATACCTGGCTATGAAGCTGCAGTCCCTTTTTATTGGCACATTTAGTGCTTTATTAACTCTGAATTCACTTTTTAAAGCATATTTTAATCATTTTAATATGGTATCTCTGAAGTCAGGTTTTTTTTTTTTCTTTTTGGTGGAACTGGGGATTGAACTCAGACCCTTGTGCTTGCCAGGGAAGCGCTTATCCTACTGAGCCATCTCCCCAGCCCCAATCAAATGTATTTTACAGTGGTATAATTATAATAGGAAGCTCCTGCCCTCACCCCTTAGCGCACTAAATGTTTCTTATTTATGTATTTATTTTAAAAAGAATAGAAAATATAAACCAATAAAAACAATACAGAATTTTGAAACAAGATGATAGGAAATTAACAGTGGTTACATTGGATATTATTTTCTTCAAGCTGTAGTTTGACTATCTAAATATGGACATTATCAAAGCCCATCACAATTTCATCTGCCAGTGTTTATTGCATCTTAATGTTTTACTGTATAAGATTGCTTTCCTTATAAGATGCAACTTCCAGCATGGTACTTAATGAACTCTTAAATCCCAGTTCCATTTACGCACCATATGACCTTTACAAAACTACTTACCCTCTTTAGGCTCAACTTTCTTGTCTGTAAATTGGCAGGAACAGTAATATTTACCTTTTAGAAATAAAAGTAAAATTTGTACTGTTTCAAACACAGGGTAGGAAGACAGTAATTATTGTTTCTATTCTTAAACATTCTTCCGTGTTGTTGCTGGAATTTCCTTTTCTTTCCCACCAACTTACGCAAGTCCAGCCAGTGCCATGAATCTTTTCCTGAATATTCCAACTATAATTTCTAGTTTATTCCTATATGAGCAACAATTGTATTTACAGTTAGTACTGTTTAATTTAGCATTTAATTATTTAAGCACAAATCTGTCCAGCTTATATTATTTGTTTCACATGTTTGAGGTTTTGCCTTCCTGTTTATACGATGTTTTGCAGTTCAGGAAGACATCTTTATATTTTCTCTGTAATACCTCCTACTCTCACATAGAGCAGACACTCTATTTATTGAATGACTAAAAATAAGCGACAGTACAAACTATAAACTTCTTTAGAGAATGAAGTATTTCCCCTTTTTCTTCGCAGTTTGGAGGAGCTCTTCCTGTGCCTTAACGACTATGAAACAGTGTCTTGTTCATCTATTTGCTGTCATTCTCTTAAGCTCCTACATATAACGGACAATAACCTCCAAGACTGGACTGAGATACGAAAGTTAGGAGTTATGTTTCCTTCGCTGGATACCCTCGTCCTGGCCAACAATCACTTGAATGCCATCGAGGAGCCTAATGATTCACTGGCAAGGTTGTTTCCTAATCTGCGATCCATCAGCCTCCACAAATCAGGTGAGCTGCAGGCTCTTCTTCATGCTGTATGCGGATTAATCTGGGCCAATGTATGAAGTACAATGAAAATATATTTTTACTTACACTTGTACCTTTTTAAAGGACAAATTTTCAACATGACATGCCAGAAGAAAAAAAAATGACATGCCAGTACCTACTGATTGACTAAATTTAAGGCATTCATATTCATAAATGCTCTAATAAAAATTAGGTGACATAGCATTACATTAGCAACTTACATTTTATATATTAAAGAGATCATGCTGTGAAAGGAGTGGAATGAAGTGGATGAATTAGATAGTAAAAAGGCAGAGTGAAAAGAAGTACAGACTAGACTGCTTTTTCTTTATTTGGGGTGAGGAATCCCAACCTGCTCTCTTATCAGATGCTCACCTTCCTTCTATTTGTAGTTTATTGTCCATTGTTGCCATCTAATTGTATCACAGAGATGACTATATTCAGCCTGTTTTTTTTGTTTTGTTTTTTAATTAGTAAGCTTTCTGCTTTAGAGCACTTCGAAGTTCACAGCACATTGACAGGTTTTTGGGAGAGTTCCCAAACATGCTGTGTTCCCCACATACCTGGAAGCCCCACTATCAGTAGCCCACACCAGCATAGCAAATTGGTAGTCTTTTAATTCATAAACTTATGATGACATGCCATTATAATGTATATTAGGATTCATTCTTGGTGTTTTACATTCTTTGGGTTTTGACAAATACATGTACACACTATTGTGTAGAATAGTTTCACTGCTAAATATATATATATATATATATATATATATTCTCCATTTATTTATGCCCTAAGTCCTGACAACCACTGAACTGAACTTTTTGATAATTTTGCCCTTTCTAGAATGTTACTCCATGCATTTGGAATCACACAGTATGTGGCGTTTTTGGATTGGCTGCTGTGTTACCTTCTTCCTTGCTGAGATGAAATACATGATTCCCACGAGTTAAAGGCAGAAAGGTCTATTGTGGTTCACAGTTTGCAGAGTTTTCAGTCCACAGTTAGCTGGTTTCAAGGCAGGGTGGCGTGGTAGAGGGGGACATGGAGAAATAGTTCATGGCAGAGCAGGCAGGAGGCAGCAGCAGCAGCAAGAGGCCTCCTTTCCCCTCTTCCCATCCAGGCTGTGAGGCTTTGGGGTGGTACCACCCATACCTGGGCTTGGCCTTCCCAATACCCTCACCCCAAATTGTGATAAACCAAGGAGTTGACTAAACCAGTGCCACACACCTCTAACCCTCAAATCACACACCCTAGACTCAGCTACCTCCTAAAAGCGCCTCCAGGGACCGCGTGAAGCATTGGGGAGCACATGAGATGCAAGCCATAGCAGCTTCTTGCATTTAGTGATGTGCATTTGAAGCCTCCATTCCTTTCCATGGCTTGATTGGTCATTTCTTTGTAGCACCATACAATATACCTTTTGCTAGATGTATCACAATTCGTTATCTGTGACCAGTGAAGGACTTCTTGTAGCTTCCAAGTTTTGGCTGTTATGATAAAGCTCTTTTAAATATCTGTGGGTAGGCTTTTGCAAGGACATAGGTTTTCAGCTCATTCAGGTAAATTATAAGGGTGTAACTGTTGGAGTACCTGGAATGAGAAAAAATGTTTAGTTTGCTAAGAGACTGGCAAGTTTGGTTCCCAAGTAGCTGTACCATTTTTAGTCCCACCAGGAGTGGGCGAGAGTTCTTGTTGCTCCACATCCTTGCCAGAATTTTGTATTGTCGGTGTTTGGGATTTTACCATTCTAACAAGTTTGTCACAGTATTGAAATTTCCTAATTATGTTTAATGTTGAACATCTTTTTGTGCGCTTAATTGACATCTGCATTTGATCTTTGATGAGTGATGTGTAAATTTGGGTGTTTGTGTATGTTGTTAGTCGGGGTGTCTTTTTAGTGCTGAGTTTTAAGAGTCCATTTTGTATTGTCTCTAACAGGCCTTTATCAGATGTGTATTTTATAAAAACCTTTTCCCAGTATGACTCATTCTTGAGACATTGTTATTCATTGTTTCTTGGAACAATTGCGTAATGGATTTTTGATTTTTGAAAAAATCTTTTATTTATGTATTTGGTACACAGCTCGGACTCGTAGTGATCCTCCTGTCTCAGCCTCCCCAGCACTGCGATTACAGGCATGCACCACCACACCCAGTTTCAGGCTGGCACAGCGCACCTGGTACCGGGGATCGAACTTGTGACCCTATGCTTGCCAGGCAGGCACTTAGAGCACTGAGCTATCTCCCAGCCCACAATTGCATACTTGAAAGTAACTCTAACCACCAACTGAAAAAACATAAACTTAGTTTATTTCACCATGGATGTTACTAGTGAAAACTAAGTTTTAAAAGGCAGTGTTTTGTGTAAGGAAGCTGTTTTTTCACAGTTTGACACCTGTTGATCTAACCCTATTCTTCCTTCTAGATGGAAGTGCTGTTGTAAGGGAAGGGGACTGTTGTGATTTAGAACAATTGATGCACAGTCCTCATAGGTCGTGCCTCTGTGTTTACCTTTGTGCAAGTTTTATGACAATAGGAAGGGAGTATGCTGCTGTCCAAAATGGGTTTTCTTTTCTTTTTTTCCATACAGTGTCTTACTATGCAGCTTGGACTCATAGTGATCCTCCTGTCTCAGCCTCCTCAGTGCTGGGATTACAGGCGTGAGCCACCATGCCTGGTTTCGGGGCTGGCATGGTATATGGTACCGGGGATCAAACTCAGGACCTTGCACTTGCCAGGCAGGCACTTAGACCACTGTGCTATCTCCGCAGCCCTCCAAAATGGATTTTCTGTGATGTAAAATTGACCAACTTCATAACATTAGGAGTATTTTTTCTGCTTGCAAGTCATGACTTGCAAGTCAGATATTGACTTGGATAATACATTTGCTCGTAGCCATAGGGACAGCTTAATTGTACAACTAAAAATCTTAATTTGTGCTGTGTTCTCCTTAGTAAAAGGTTCAAGGTTCTTGTTTAACAATGATTTTGGATCCATTTCCCCTGTCATAAAATGAGAACAGCACGAAAATGATAATTTTTCATATAATTGTGTTGTGTTGACCATATCCCACTTTAGAAATTGTCAGGTAAAAATTTGAGTACGACACTATCAACTGTGATCCATGGTTACATTCTTTGAGTCTATAAAATAAGGTGAGTTAGCGTACCACTTTCTAAAAATATTGTGTAATTGTGGCATGCTATGGATCATTTTGGTAAAACCAGGAGGTGAGAAGATGTTGGCGAACAAGGCTGTCTTTTCTGACCACTGAGTTCATGGAGATAAGAGAGGCTCTGGCAAAGTTGGTGTGGTATATCTTCCAGATTTTCTTTGGCACTCTATGATCATGTTAGCATTCCAAGACTTATTAATTGGAATAATTTCTTTTTATTTGTGTGACTTTCTGTTTTCCTTTTTTTTTTGTGGGCGGTACCAGGGATTGAACTGAGGACCCTGAGCTTGCCAGGTGACTTTCTGTAATAACTTAAACAATATCTTTCTCAAATTAGGTTTGCAGTCTTGGGAAGACATTGATAAACTAAATTCATTCCCCAAACTTGAAGAAGTGAGGTTGTTAGGAATTCCTCTTCTGCAGCCATATACTACTGAGGAGCGCAGGAAGCTGGTGATAGCCAGGTCTGTTACCCTGATTTCTTTGCTTCTTTTCACAGGGCCCTGTTGTTTCCTGCAAGGAGTGATGCACGACTGGGGAGCAGGCCCTATGAACTTACTCATGTCTTGAGCAGGCCGTGCTTGAAAGAGCTATATCTGTAGCTAGCTACATCTGTAGCTTCCAGTCCTGGCTAAAAATGAGTACAGTGAGGACAACGTGATATCTCCTTGTCCTTCCCATGCCACTGAAGTAGTCCTTCACGAGTGTATTATATTTTTTGTGGTTTTGGATATTAAGATATTTGAACAAATTTTTGGGGTCACAAGGTAGAAAGGACCATATATGATGGGGAATCGTTCCTGTTGAAGTCTTTTTTCCTCCATTGATGGTTGTTGAAAGCGCAAATGCATGGAGACCGGCTGTTTCAGCAGCCTCTGTGTTTCCTTCTTGAGTATACGTTGATTTCAATATGACTGGCATTTTTACTGCCTTCTTTGTCTGACTCTCTTGCCTTTTGTGTGTCAGGCACTGCTTCCAAAGACTGCTAGAATTTCCTACTGGGGGTAATTTCGCGGCAAAAATGAGATTTTGGCTAGAATGGAAAGAGCCATAGGGTTTTGCTCTGTTCTCTTTGTGCACTAACCATAGTAGTTTTTGAAAGAGAATCAGTGGGCTTTAAGGTTCTCTAAAGAAGAATGGTTCTTTAAACATAATTTTGATCTTTCAGACCAGCTGATGCACAAGATTCTTACTACTTTTGCCATCTACATTAGTCTCAATGAAGAAAGAAATATCAGCATATGTTTGATTTAAGAAGACAGTTTTGGAGAAGGCCTTAGATATTACTGTCTTTACACAAATTCTTTTGCAACTATGATAAATTGGCTCCTGAATTTTATAATCACCTTACCCTGAGCGCTTTTTAGGCATGTGGCTGATTCATATAGTAGCCTCTAGCCACGTGTGACGGTGAACACCTGAAGTATGTCTTATCTAGATTGAAATGCGTTCAAGAGAAAAGTAGATACTAGATTTCACATTCTTTCTATGACTAAGAAAATAGCTTTGTAATGATTTTTGAATATTGACTACTATATAGTGGTCTCTCATTATTTCACAGTTCCACTTTTGCAGACTCATTGTTTCGAGGGTCTTCAAAAAATATTAACCTAAATTATTTATTGTGGATTTTATTTTTGCTATATCATGGGATTTTGCAGTTCTGTACAGTATATGTATGTTGTTAAAATTATGTAGGTTTACAAGTTTAGTAAATGATTAAGAACATTAGAAGTGTTTTTAAAAGTATGGGAAGATTTCTAAGAGTGTGGGAGGGTTTATAAAGCCTTAAAATATGTATAAATACTACTTAGCTGATTTCACTTATTGCGGTGTCTGAAGGCAGCCTCCACAGTAAGTGAGGGACC